TATGATTCTGCTCTCACAGTCAAGAATTGGCTTAAAGTGTCTGCTAAATGCCTGTGTCGACTATCTGTCTAGAATGAAAATGAGCATGAACTTTGATAAAAGCAAAATAATGGTTTTCAGGAATTATCGTAAGAGCTATACTTGGGTTTTTGGTGGGAAACACATCCAGCAGGTATTTGAATTCAACTATTTGGGGGTCACTTTCCATCACATGCTCCGGTGGTCTTCGCACTGCGCAGAGGCGGCAAACACCTGCAAGCTGTCTATGCAGGCCATAATGCGCTTCTTTGCAACAAGAGGTAACCAACACATCACTTCTGCCCTTAAGGTTTTTAATGCCAAAGTTAGAGCTCAACTGCTCTATGGAATTTCAGTCTGGATAATAATAATAATAATAATAATAATAATAATAATAATAATAATAATTTTATTATTTACACCCCGCCCACTCTGGGCGGCTTCCAAAAAAATATGTCAGGGTTTACCCAGTCAATGGAATGAGTGCAGGCAGCCTTTCTATTTAAGATTTTCGCTGTCCCACGCTGTGTAGCTTACGCAGCCCTGTGTCTAGAGGGAGGCCAATATAAGCTAGAGATAGTTGCCTGGACGAGTTTCTATTATGCTGGCTAAACATTTGTTTTTCAGCAGACAAAGATACTTTACTTAGCAAAGTTCTGTCAGACTCCTTCCCTTCCCCAGGGCTACAATTGTTTTGCACCAAGATACGGCAACTTGGGCTTTCAGAGGATCTCTTGGGTGCTGTGGCTTTTCCAGTCGCCAAGGCCATGTTAAAAACTAGGCTGTGGGACATAGATCGCCAGGAACCAATTTTAGCTGTGGAAAAAACATGTTCCCCTCTTTATTTTCGACTCTCTTGGGCCAGGAATTTAACCTCAATTATCTACAATTTTTGTTTAACCCGCAAGAAAGAAGGGCTTTTTCGCTGGCTAGGTTCAATTCTAATTCTAACCTCCTTTGGGGTAGGTTCATGGGTATGGCAGAAGGAGATAGGATCTGCTCATGTGATGCCCACCTGGTGGAACCTCTAGCTCACATGGTCCTTAAAAATGTATGATGATCTCCACCAACAATTTTTAGACCAACTACCGGTATGTATCCCAATATGGAAACCAGAGACAGAGGTCATTCACTTCTTATTACAGGCGAGAGACCAGGAGCTCACCAAGACAGTAGCTAAGTTCCTCTACAGTGGTACCTCGAGTTAAAGATGCTTCAGGTTACAGACGCTTCAGGATACAGACTCCGCTAACCCAGAAATAGTGCCTCAGGTTAAGACTTTGCTTCAGGATGAGAACAAAAATTGTGTGGCGGCGGCGCAGCGGGAGGCCCCATTAGCTAAAGTGGTACCTCCGGTTAAGAACAGTTTCAGGTTAAAAACAGACCTCCAGAACGAATTAAGTTCTTAACCCGAGGTATCACTGTATTACGCTACAGGACCCTGCCCTTGCTGGAGACCCACAGAGGTGAAATAGATTGCTCGCCTCTTCTTTCCTTTGGCAAATGACTGTACTGTTGAAATGGCAACGAGATCGCACTGGCCTATTTATTCTGAATGTTTGTAAGTGATGCTAATAAAGGTTTGATGATGATGATGATGTTATTAAACTATGATTTATTAAACCCCAGTTAAGCATTATATATGAACAAAGCTTCCCACCTCAGTAATGGTTTGTTTACTAGCAGGCCACAATTTGAAGATGCAGTTTGTGAATGGCTTTTGAATCTTGGTTTGCATTAGCTATGGCTTCATTATGTGTGATTACATGTGAACTTGGCACTCTTCCTTAACCAAGGTTTCCTCAGACACTCACTGAACTACAAGCCACAAGGCAAGAGCAGTTGGACAATAAATCAAATTTGGGAAAAACAAGCCATGATTTGTTTGATTGTCTGTGGGAAAATTCATGATTTGTTCAACAAACCACGGCTTAACCTGCAGACAGTCTATTCACCAAACAACCACAGGAATTAATTAGTGTATTAATTTAAACATTAAATTTAATGTAGCCAGTGTATTAATTTAAACATTTTTTGTAAATAATTCAGTGATTTAACAATAAATGAGATGCATAATGGGGAACTGAATGTATTCATATTTCTCAAAATGAACCAAGGCACAGCTTAAGCCAGTGATGGCCAGACTCGGCCCTCCAGCTGTTTTTGGACTATAACTCCCATCATCCCTACCTAACAGGACCAGTGGTCAGGGATATAATGGGAATTGCAGTTCCCAAAGCGCTGGAGGGCTGAGTTTGACCATCACTGGCTTAAGCAAACAGGATGGGAATACCGAAGAAAGAAGGAAAATATACTGAGATGACATATAGGACAGTAGGAAAACAAGAAATACAAGATGCAAACACTACTCCCAAAAGGAGTAGATATAGCAATAATGTGTGATAAAGGTTTATTAAATAGAGTAGAAAAAAATGAAATACAGAGTGGGTGCAATCCAAAACATCCAACCTGATGTTTGTAAGAAAACAGCTGAGAAACAAATTGACAAATACTGCAAAGTACGCTCACTTATTTCAAAGACCAAAGAGTCTGAGTGCAAATCCAATAAATATAAAATGATAAAACAATGCTTATGGTGTTTAAAAGACTACAATTATTAAGGAATAATAAAAGGTTTAGAAGATGCTTTTTAAAATGATATGGTAAAAATCAAAAGTACAGTGGTACCTCAGGTTACATACACTTCAGGTTACATGCGCTTCAGGTTACAGACTGCTAACCCAGAAATAGTGCTTCAGGTTAAGAATTTTGCTTCAGGATGAGAACAGAAATCATGCTCCGGCGGCACGGCAGCAGGAGGCCCCATTAGCTAAAGTGGTGCTTCAGGTTAAGAACAGTTTCAGGTTAAGAACAGACTTCCGGAACGAATTAAGTACTTAACCCGAGGTACCACTGTATTTTTTAGAAATAAAAGATGGTTCCCTTGTTGTATTAAGATGTTTCTTTTCTATTCAGTAGCACAGTATACAACACTGACTATCATGAACCATTTTTGGAGAAGTGTGAGTAAAATTCAAGAGTAATATTAACAAAGAAGTGTAGTTTTCATAACATAAAATATATTTTTTAAATAAACAATACATGTATTTTTTTTCAAATGACCCTATTTGTGTAAACTATCAGCAGTTATGTGAGACTCAAGAGTTTTTGTTCTAATCCAAAGAGAACAACTTCTGAACTGTTGCTTTACTGAAAGTATCAGTCCTGTTCAGTTGCTAAACTTTGCAATATTTCAATAAATTTTATGTACTGCTCCAACCTATTTTTAATTTGTATATTGCTTTTAAAATGTTGGTTGCTTTTAATAAACATGCTGCTAACATTAAAATGGAAAGGTGGGATCAAAATGCCGTTATGAATAAAACATGCAAAACCCATATAGCTGTGCCTTTTGCCTTTACTGCAGTACAGAACTCAACTGGCTAAATTAAGCTAGACGAAAAGTTAGCAAACCAACCAGCCTAGAGAGGTTGATTCTATTTTGCAGTCATTCAGAAACACCCAGGATTCTTATGACAGCATAACCAGATTGTTTGGAGCTGTCCGTTTACTAGTCCTGCAGGCCTCAAATCAATCTAATTTTACTTGCCTCAATAGTGTTTTATTGGAGTAATATAATTATGGGTCCACTCCCCAGCCCAACTTAGCAATTTTTTAGAAAAGGTTTTAAATTAACAGGTTTTTTGTTTTTTAATGCAACCAAAAGAGTGAGAGCCATAACTGAATCCCAAGGCATCTAGGGGGATGTGGCAGGTGCCTGTGTTGTGGGGTGAGGAGTTGTGCTTTATACAGTATTTATTGTAGGTTGTAGGTTGACCACAACTCATTCAATTAAGCCTCAGTGTGTTATCTCCAGATTTGCTTCATTCCGCAGCAAACCTCTTTTCCCCCTTCCAAGCAATAAAATTGGGCACTTGTCATATAGCCATTATCCACACGTGCGCGTATAAATCTGTACCCCAAACACCTTCTGATCTGAAAGCCCTTCTCCCGTTCCCAGCCCGCCTCCTGCGCTGCACGAGGATTTGCCAGAAAAAAGGGCGACAAATGAAAACACAGTACAAAGCTGCTCATGTGGATCGCAGGGCCCTAGTGCCGAGTGAGATATTCCAGGAGGTACGCCCCCCCCCCCGCATAACCCTCCCAGCTGCAAGCACTTCCAACGAGAATGAAATGAAATGTGCTGCAGGAATGTGCTCCTCCTTCGCACGAAAGGAAGAAAACGAAAAAGGGCTGCACGAATGGCTCTCTGCACACACTCAGGGGCTCCCTCTGCTTCACGGAGTTCCGAAGCCCCTGATGAGTTGAATGAGGAAACTGCGCTCTCTGCACCATAGCTGTCAACCTTCCCTTTTTTTGCGGGAAATTCCCTTATTCCAGTGCCCTTTCCCGCTGCTATCCCGGATTATTAGATATCCCATAGACAGGTGAGGCTGCTGATCCCTTATTTTCAAATCCCTTATTTTCAACTTTTCAAGTTGACAGCTATGCTCTGCACTCCCTCAGAGGCACCCTTGGCGCCAGGCAGGCTTGTAGCCGGCGAGCCCAAACCCCTCCTCCCCAACAACCCTCACCCGCGTCACCGCCGCCCTCCCCTTCTTCCCTCGCCCCGCCCCCTTTCGCCCCGCCCCCTGCCCAGTCCCGTCAGCCAGCAGCCGCCCTCTCCCTCTCCCCGTCACCCCCTCCCCAGGTTCCTTACACAGTGATTTGCCCGGCGCCCCTCACAGCCACGGGTTCAGGCGCGTTCCGGAGCCGCGGCAGCTCCTGACTCCTCACCACAGTCTCGGACTCCTCCTCCTCTTCGTCTTCCTCCTCCTCCAGCTCATAGATAGTGTCAAAGTCAGCCATGTTGGGGAGCAGGACGCTCATCGCCCCCCCTCCCTCTCCGGCTCGCGATCTGGAAACGCGCGTGCGCCCCGCTCGCGGGAAATGGGGGGGGGGGTTGGCCCAGGTTGGCGGCAGTTAGTCGCTGGCTCGCGGGAGGCCTGTGGGCATGCGCCGAGTGGGGCCGCCGCTGCCGCCGAGGCTTTTGGAGACGAAACCGAAGCTGAAGGCAGTTTGTAGGCAGGGAAGCACCTGAAGAAGTAAGAGGTGGTGCGATTTCGGCTGCGACGACCCACGTAGCCTGGTCCTGTGAATGGTTTCCCGGCTTTCTGGGTCTTCATCACCCAGCAGTGGAAACACGCAGGTGATTTGACAAGGGATAAGGAGTGCGGAAAAAATTGTCGGCTTGCCCTCAGAAAGAAGTGTGGCACGTCAGATAAAAGTAAAAAGCAGCCAAGTGAGAGACTGAGCTCCTTGCCACGTGGAAGAATGCAGTTTCTTCGAAAAACCCACATCCCCTAAAGCAGCGGTTCTCAACTTGTGGTTCCCCAGATGTTGTTGGACTACAACTCCCATCATCCCTGAGCTGTGCCCTTGCTAGCTAGGGGTGATGGGAGTTGTAGTTCAACAACATCTGGGGACCCACAGATTGAGAATGGCTGCCCTAAAGGCAATGGTCTTTAAATTATTAAACAGAGACTATACCTATCTGTATAAAAAGCAAGTAAATGCACAACCCCAACTGCTAAAGGAGGGGCTTGTGGAAAAAATGGATAAATATCCTCTTCAAGGTCTCCACCTTCTCACAAAGCGATGAACAATAAAACTATTCCTCCCCCCCAAAAAAAACCCAGTAGAAACCACGAATGTTAACTGAATTATTGTATCTTTACTATTATTTAGTTCATTTAACTATTTGTTAAATGCAAGAGAGGGAGAGTTGGCAGCAACTGAGGTGCAAATGTGGACTGCTGTGGCAAAACTTGCCTCACTGTGCATGAGAGAGAAGAATATAGAGTGCAGTCCTTTGTGCAGGATCCACTGGTTGTGGAGCTATAGGATTTGACAGAAGCCCTGCTATGGCAGCAAAACAATAGCCTGCCACCAGTGGAATATATTGGCAGCACCATTCCATCAGTGAAGGTATGTTGACAGAGGGAAGCCAGCAGCAGCATAGAAAAACACTGCATCCAAGAGATTGCCAGTGTGATTCCCGGCAGGCACCAGTGTGCTTGCCAGTACCTCCTATGGCACTTGCTAAATGTCTCAATAAATATCACCTCAAAAATCTATAGAGCACAAGACACTGTTTGCTCCTCTTGCTTGGTTCATATTTGCACTGGCTTAGCATCCTCTACAATGAACACTTCCTTAACATGCCCACATTTAGGTGTCATTAGGCAGAAGAGGCTTACAAAAAGCTTTCCTCTGAGTGCAGCAGCGGCTGACACTGGTGCCTTTTCTTCATTAATGGTGGGGGGACATGACTGCACCATTTTGTGGGCCCTTTTCTGCTCTTTTAGATGTGGCAGCTATTTTGTGTGATGTCACATATCCCACAACAGCCAGTTAGTTGTGCCACACACCCTCAACAGCTGTTATGTGACCAGGGTCTACTGCACTAATATACCCATTGGCCTCCAAACATTGGTGACTCCTATTTGATGTATGTTATACTCCTTGTGCTTGATAATGTCTTTATGGATGGCATAACTTTCTACAGGGAAGCTCTTTCCCATTGACTTAAAAATGTTGCATAACAGTGCATAGGATATGGTGTAATTCAGCACTCAAGAGCAGCACAACGCCACCAATATATAAAACCACACACAAGGAGACTAAAACTCAGGTGACAGGACATCTGCCATATTGCTACATCTCTGGCCTCACTAGGGATAACTTTGGTAATGGGAGAAAGGTCTTCACAACACATGGGAATGGATGAGTTTGCTTTGTAAAGAGCCCTTTGCCTGTATTGCAGCTGCAGGGGGAAAGCAGTCAAAGTGGATAATAAGGGTGATCTAATTTAGTGCTAGACTGGTAGGTTCAGGCCACAGGCTGCTAGTTGGTTAGCCCTTGTTCCAGACAGAAGTAGAGAATTCAATACAAAATGACTGCATTTATTTAGGAACATGTTATTTACCACTATAGCTGTAAATCTGTAATAATGTGGTAGTCTTCATCTTTGACAATCACTCATAGCTGAGTAAGATTGTCTTCCATGAACACTGTTTTAACTGAGACTGAAAGTGACCGTAGAGGCCAATTCTGGATCCACACGTCCTTCCACAGTGGGGAAATAGGTTTCTGGCTGGGAGTTGATCACAGTGAGGGTTTACCAAGCACATTTCTCCCTTTCGTCCTGTGGTAGTCCAAGGTACATAGCATGCATTTTATAAGTGTGTTGAAATGATATTTTGCAATCAGAATTATTTTGACAAAAATGAAACATTTCCTTGCCGTTACGTATTTAATCCTCCAAGACATTGCTGAAGAACCACAAAGAACCACAAATGAAATAACATAATTGCATATTTTAAAAAACTATTATTAACCCAGAAATTCATCAGTTTATCCATGATACAAATTTATAATAAAAGTTGAGCCAGTTGAAAATACAATCCTGCAGGATTGAGAAAATATTGTATTCAAAAGATTTTAATAATCTCCATATTGTTACTTACAGTGTGGAAAAGTACTTTCATTTGATCATGTACAATCTTATCAAAATGTAATCCTAAACATGTATACTTAGCTCAAAAAGAAGTCCTGTTGAATTTAGTGGGGTTTATCTCAAGATAAATGTGGCTGGATTGCAGCCTGAGTGTAATGTACTTCTATTTTAAACCATATTTTAATTAACTGTTTGTTTGTTGCTGTTTTTTCTATTACGTTTTATTGTAATTCATATCTGGTGTTAGCCACCGTGAACCCGGCCCTGGCTGGGGTATAAATAATTTTTTTTAATTACTACTACTACTACTATTTTACTTCTCATGGGCACAATCTACAAGGAAGCTCTTTTGAGAAAAGCCCCTTCAACACAAATTTCCGGTGGACTGGGCTCCATGTATTTAGAAGTCACTGTTCAGACATTTGCCTGAACACACCAATGCTTTCAAAAGGGCAGGATCCATACAAAAATTCTGCCTGCAATATTTGGTCCCCAACGTTCCTGGCATTGTGTGAGGAAGGGATTAGGGGCCTTATTTATTTACTTTAATAATATGTATATATAATATATTTTTTTAAAAAGAGGTTTACAACAGTATAAAATAAAACATTAAAATTACTGATAAAAAGATAAAGCAGATATTAAACATATTAAAAAAATTATTGAAATCAACACTGACTAAAAATAAATAAAACACATGTAACTTCTTCAGTGTTGATTTGGGTTCTTAACAAACCTTTCTGATCTTCCCAGGTTGTTTTGATGTGAAAGTTTTGGAACAAACTGTAATGCAAAGTATCCTTTAAAGTAGTTCCCTAAACTCCATTGAGGTGTTAAGATGAAGCACATGCCACACGAAAGAGCAGCAAGAAGTTCTTATTGAGACCTCATTTCACATTCAGACACACAAACAAATTGGTTTGGAATTTACAAGCCCTAAACAAATGTCAACTTCTCTTTCATCTCCAGGAAAACAAGCGGACAGAAATAGATGGATGCCTAATTTCTTTTACTGATTTCTGCAAAATCTCAGAATGGAACCCTGTTCAACTGAATCTGGAAGGTTTCTTTAAATATTCCACTGAGACATATTTCGCTAAAATAGCTAAATCCTTTTGAGTGAAATCCCTAAAGGTGATTGTATAATTTCCGGCTACCTACCTGAATCTGTATAACTTTTTTGTTATTGCTCATTTAATTATTATAACTTGCAGCCCAGTCATATGAATATTTATTTTTAAATCACTGGAACTTAATTCATTAAGACTCCTCAACAAGTCTGCACAAGTGTTCACTTATACACACAGTTACTTAGAAGTAGATTCTTCAGATCTCACAAGGACTTACTTAAGGGTAAGCAAACCTAGGATCAGTCTGTAAGGCTGCTATGCACATTTTATTGGGGTTTAGCCCCTTGAATTGAGTTTGGCTACAATAAGCATGCATATAATTGATATACTTGGGTCATATTTCATCCAATGCTAATCATTCTGAAGTGCAAACTAGTTGAAATTAAGGATACAAATAAACATAGGTTTCAGTTGGTTTACTCCGAGTATGATTCAGTTGGATACAACCCATAGTATGTTCACAGGGCATTTCAAATGCTCAAAGCAGTTCCTATGCATTGGATAAGATTTGTTAAAATATCTATAATTTCTGAGTAAGAAAAATCTTTCTGTGACAGATAATTGCATTTCAAGTTACAAAGTATAAAGTCTTAAAATTGCAAATGCAAGAGATAAAATTTAAGTGCTCTTATTCTAACACCTCTTTAGTAAATAAGAATAACAGAGATGAGGGAGGGGGAGTTTAACCTATTCCCCCCTCATAAAATTCACAGAACATTTCTTCTAAAGACAATAAAGCTGAAAGAAACTTTTTTTTTATTTGCTGTGAAGATTAGCACCCTTTCAGGCAATTTAGCTGCTGAAGAAAAGAGAAGGAAGACACAGTTCTGCATATCAAAGCTGTTTAAAAGAAGTGTTAAAAAGGTCTGTGGCTCACTATGAGAGGTCTTAAAACCAATGGCACACTTGGCTAAGAGAAAGTTGGCACAGCTCACTTGCATTGTGAAATTAATATTCAGATTATACACATTTTAGAAATATAGGAAGTTGTGTTATATCAGTTCAGACCATTGATCCATCTATGCTGATTTAGCAGGGAATCTCTAGGGTTTCAGCAAGGAATATTTCCCAGCCCTTAATGGAAAGGCTAGGGATTGAACCTGGGACCTTTGTCTGCAAAACATGTGCTCTACCATTGAGCTATAGACCTTCATTTAACATACAGGAACATAGGAAGCTAATTTATACCGATTCAGACCTTTGCATAATGTAACTCAGTATTGGCACTGACTGGCAGTGGCATTCTAGGGTTTCAGACGCATTTCTCTAAGCCCTACCTATAAATGCTGGGGACTGGGCCCTTTTGCATGTAAAACAGTTGTTGTACCACTGAGCTATAGCTCTTCCCCAATTTCTTGTGCCTTTGCATTTTTATAAAAAAATAGGGGAGGGGCTTTTTATTTCACCTTTTCAGCAACCCATTGTATATGCTCTTGTAGCTGTTTTTTTAGAGACACCATTTAGGTAAGG